CAAACTATCATTAAATGGCTCACTGAAAGGAGGGATGAAAAGCATTTGAGGCCAAACTGAAATGGAATTTAAGGTGGTCCAATATCAAAATCAGTACCAGAGAATGATACAAATACACTAGAAAGGAAACCCTTTTGCTTTAATTGATTTTTTCTATTTGTATTTTACTATATATCTAATTTACTTTCATTGAATTTTATCTTGCCCAAGGAAACATTTTGACTGTTAGATATGAAATGTTTCCATCAAATACTTGTGATGACTGTTGTAGCAAACAGACTTGCCTGTAGCAATTAAACTACATAGTACAAATCACATTGCAAAATCTCTCCAGGGCCATGTTTCGATCCTGATTAAATTTATCCTTTCCATTCATCTTACATTTTATAAATGTAACATTTATTTAGTAGTCACAAAAGTATTTGTAATAAGTTTATGCAAGTTTGTCTTCCAAATTACTCTGGGTAGATATTTAAACTAGACCTTACTTGTATATGAATCCTAAACCTGGTCCACTTCCTGTGATGCTTATGTTAAAAAAATAGCACCACTATGCATTCATTTGTACAAGTCAGATATCCAAAAGTCACCCTCAAAATTGTCCTCTCTCCTACTTCCAAAATATAATCCATCATCATGTTCTGTTGGTTGTAATCTTAAAATTCTTATCAGTTCTCTCCATTTTTCATCATCTCCACTCTATCACTCTGGTCCAAGCTACCATTGCCTGGACTATTGCAATCACCTCCCAAAAGCTCTGCCTGCAGCCATCCTCCTCATTGGAGCCAGTGTGATCTTTACCATTCTGAAGCTTTCCTTGACCTGACCTTCAAGGCTTTGACAGGAGGTGGCACCTGCTTAGCAATGCAGTTTCATCTTGCAGCACTCTCTCTTTTGTTCTTTGAACTGCAAACACAATGTCACTCAAAAAGTTTCTCTAATAAGCCAAGCTCCCTTTTTCCATAGGTTCTTTGCAGGAGCTGTTTCCTCTGCCTGAAAAGCTCTGCCCACCCTTCCATCTTTTCTTCATCAACCTGTTAATTTTAGCTCAGTCCATTTCCTCAGGGAACCCTACTTTGGTTTTTCTTATAAGGTTGGGTCCCCTACTAGGGGACTAACTAGTCTAACTCTCTTATTAGACTTTTACATTTATTTAAATGCTTCTACTGTTAATGTCTGCCTCCCCTAGATTGTAAGCTCCATAAGGGCAGGCACTTGCTCGGTCTTTGCTCTCTGTTCTACTGCCCGTGATTAGCACAATGCCTGGTACGTAACTGATGCTTAATAAATACCCACTGAGTAAATAAATGACACAATGGTGTTCTTGGTGCAGAAAGGAGGAGAGAGAAAAAAAGATATGGGAGGCCTACAGGTAAGAGAAGAGAGTGAGAATAAACACTGATCCAAAACTGGAGTCAATAGAGTCAACCTGATTTATTACTTGATTGAAGAGCAATAGGAAAAACAGCATGGATAGACCTAATGGTGTACTTACTGTGAGTGCCAGGCATAAAAACTTTCATTAGAGAAGCCACAGATGTGTACAGATGTGTGTAATTTTGATCTGGTAATCAAATGCTTGTTTTTTCTTTTAGTTGCTAAGTTAAGTCAATTATTCACATAATGAATAGCTGAACTGAATTCTAGTCTAAATGCAGACTCTGGTTAAAAATTCTTTTTTTCTTTTTTAAAATAAAGATATAATTGACATATACAAGTGTATTAATTTTAGGTATGTAATATAATAATTTGATATTATGCATATATTGCAAAATGATTACCATAATAAATTAGTTAACATCCATCACCACACAGTTACAAATTTTTTTTTTTGGGATGAGAACTTCAACATCTACCCTCTTAGCAACTTTCAAATATACAATACAGTATTGTTAACTATAGTCACCATGCTGTACATTATGTCCCCAGGACTTATTTATCTGATAAGTGGAAGTTTATACCTTTTGACCACATTCACTCCTTTCACCCAGCCCCTTCCCCACACCTCTGGCAACCACTAATCTGTTCTCTGTATTTATGAGTACTGTTAATAATTTTGATGAAATTTTGAACAATGCTATCGCACATATCAATAGATTTAAAAAAATTATTTCACATGTTAAGTGGTGTTTAAAACTGCTCATGTGTCTTACATTTAGGTATGAAGCTGGCTGTATCCCATACATGAAAATCAGTAGTTCAATGGAAACAACAAAGAGAAACAGAAATCTACTTCTTTCACATGACAACGAATACTTATTCTAGTCCAAGAGCTAATGATAGGCTTAATGGCAAAGTGCTAAACCATTCCTTTTAAAAGAAAAATGAAGCAAGGAAATCTGCTTGCTATCAACATTATTAATTAATACTGAGCCATAAATAAGCTGTGGAAAAGAAATACAAAGAATAATACTGGGAAGGAAGAGAGAAAAAGATAGTTCACAGATAATATTATTGTAAAACTAGAAAAGCCAATACAATTTGTCAAACAAGATTTTTAAATAATTTTCATAAGTAAAATAAGGAAATAATTCTTCTTATTAAAAGAATGAAAGAGCTGTTGGACACAAAATATGACCTACACATGAGCAAATAACTGATCAGAGTACATATTATAGATATTACCTATTTATAATTACTTACATATATTTCCTACATAATGGAAAAAGAAATCCATTAAGAATAACAACAAATGTTTAAAATGCTTAGGAAGCAGATGGATTTAGATATCTCTGACTTAAAGCTTTATGGAGAAATTAAAAAATGGAACCACAAATAAATGAGAGACTTCCATGTCCCTGGATGAGAGACTAAACATGATAAAGGTGTCAGCTTCTCTCAGATTTATTAATAGATTTTTGTATAATCTCACTAAAAAATCCAAATAGTATTACTTTCTTATGACTTGAAAAACTTGTTATAAAATTCAGCTGGAAAATTACCAGGTGAAATCATCAAAGAAATTTGTGAAAAATGATGTCTACTGAAATGGTTAGCCTTAATGGCCAAATATTAAAATACATTAAAAGCAACAATAATTGAAATAACATGGCATTGGCCCTGAAATAGACATATATTTTAATTGAAGAGAACAGAAAGCCTAGAAATACTGTATTTTTTATAAAAATTTAATAAAAAGTTATCTTGAGGCAATGGGAAAGGCAAGCATTACGTAGAAAATCATGTTGGATAATTGGATACCAATTTTGATGAAAGTACTGGTAGATCGTTACAGCAATGGCTCCCACAGAATTCTGTCTCCCTGTTCCTACATCCTTGCATCTCTCTGCTTGGATGCACCACAAAGTTTTGGGTGGTCTATTATGCAGCAACAGATAACTCACATAACATTTTACAGCATATACCAAAACATATTCCAGATAGTTGAAGAGTTAAACATAAAATTAAAGAAAATAAAACTTTTGATCTGAGACCAGAATGAACTTGTCATTCAGGTCCCAGACAACTTCACTCAGGTCCCAGATCAAATGTTACCTCTGCAGAGAGGTTTTCCCTGACCACCCATTGAAGTAGTGTCTCCTTTCCCCTTCAGTTTCTCTCTCTTTATCCTATTTGTATCACTATGTGAATTTATTGTATTCATTTTTCTTTTCTTCTTGTTTGGCTTCCATCCTAGAAAGTAAGGTCCACCAGAGCAAAACCTTTCCTTTCAGCAGTATCCTGGTAGGTTATTAGCATTCACTAGACTTTTGTTGAACTAATGAACGAATAAAAGACATTCTGGTAGTGTGCTAACTTTCTTGGCTTCACAATGGAAAACCTGAAATCTGACTACTCAACATTAAACATCTCACCAAGTGCAATAGCAAACGAAAAAAATAAAATGGAAAGAGAGACAAGAGAATGGGAAAAGCAATAGCATACAATATGACAAGGGCTAATGTCACTTCTTTATAAAGATATCATTCAAATGCATATGTAAAACAAAGCTACGAACAGAAAATTTACATCAGAGGACGTACAGAATGTTTATAAACACAAGGAAAGACAGCAGCTCTTGACAGTAATCAAAGAACTACAAATGTAATCACCTCAAGGTAACATTTTATACCACGGAATTTAGAGCAAAAACCCGCTATAATTTGGTGGTGTGTATTCTGATGGCATGGTGAGTTTGTACACTTTGTAAAGCAACAGCATTGATAGCACTAAAATTTTTGTGACTTTTGACCCAAGATTACTATTCCAGGAATATTATCCAGAGAAATTAAGTCAACAAATTTAAAAAGCCAAATGCCCAAAGATTCTCTCTACAATACTATCTTTATAGTAGAACTTAGAAAATTTGTATTGTTCGACAACGGGGCAATTACTTTGAGGCTTCAACAAGGGATGGAATTGCATGTTACTATTAAATATTAAAAACCGCAAGATTATAAAGCAGCATAAAGACATGTTTATATTATGCTAGATAGAAACCAGAATTTAAAATTTAGTACATATAATGAACGGAATGGAACGAATACACATGATCTTATTAAATCCTCAGACTCTCTAAGTTTTAGCTCCACAATTACAGAACAACAATCTAACTAATTTATCCTTGTTCGTACTTTTAATAAGTAATAGACTCTAAGCCTGTTAGTTGGAGCACCCCCCAATTTTCCATTTGAAATCCATCCAATTAACCACCTTTTTGTTCCCAAACGCTTGCTCTTCCCACCACATCATGCTTCGCATATTCAAAGAATGGGGAGCACTATGCAAAAAACGAAACAGCTTCTTAAACTTTATGGGATCACATGTTTTTCTCCCTCATCTTTCAAAAAAATTTTGGAACATTATATCTATTTCACAAAGCAAAAACTGAAGATGCAAACGATCAGGGACGTGCGCAAGCCTCACCCCAGCTAAGTAAATGCTCAAACGGCGTGCAAACGCTGACTTTTAAAGGCTGGGGAAGGGCGGGCCTCAAGCAGTTGGGGCTGGAGTCGCAAAAAAGCCTCCGCGCTGCTTTACGGCCCACGCCCCGCCCCTTCAGTTGCGGGAGAGCTGAAGCCGGCAAACATGGCCGCCAACTCGTTTCGGCCCCGGGTCCTGACTGCCCTGGCAGGGTTGTTGGCCTTGTCCTTTGGCAGCTTGGCCGATAGTCGGATCGAGGTAGGAGTCAGTCTTCTCTGAGCGACAGGGTGCTGGGAGGACAGCTGCTTGCGGCTGTGAGCGCCCAGCAGATGTCCTATACACGGCTGCGGGACGCCTCCTGGAGGTATCAGCCTTCGATGGGCTGACCAGGCTTTGGGAGGGTGTCACCGGGGACGGCATAGGACAGTGTCGGTCTGTTTCAGCCTTCTAAAACGATGAATTAAAACTATCAACTCGTCGGAGGAAGGGGAGGACCTGACCCTTTGCTCCTACGTGTGTGCAGTGCTGGCAGGTGAAATGATAGCACAAGAGTGCAGGCCCTGCTTCCCTTCTGAACTGCATGCTCCCCTTTGGTCCAAGTCGGAGGGGTACGGCCCACAGGACGTTCTGACCCTTTTAAAGCTTTACTGTCCCCGTGTACTCTGATGATTCCTCAGTCCAGTTCTCCAGTCTGGATCTCTAGCGTCACTTTCAGGCCCGCGTGTCCGGCTGCCTAAGGGGCCCGGGATAGTCAGCACACAGTTGAAATCTTCTGCCTACCCAACCTCCTATGGGGTTGCTCCTAAGCCAGAAACCTGGGAGTTTGTAATAAACTCCGATCTTCATCCCACATTTTAATCATCCCTAAATTCTCTGTTCTGAACTCTTAAAATTGCTTTCACCTCTCCAGTTCCACTGGCTTCGTGCAGCCCTGGTCATTTCTTGCCTAGACTATTGCAATAACTTTATCTTGTTTCCCCCGGGCTTCCAAACTCCCTCACTCAGATCCTAGATTAGTCTTCATAAAATGTAAACGTGATTAGGTTATTCTTCTGATTGCATCCTTTCGATATTTTTCCTTTGCATACGGAATAAAGTCTAAACGTCATGATCTGGTCTCTGCCTACTTTTCCAGTCTTCATAGTCAAGCCCATTCTCCCCGCTGCCTCAGTGCCTTGAGCTTACACCAGGCCTTCAAACTTTTTGAATACACACCCCCATCAGTTAAAAAAGATATTGAGCATGCACTCTATTCATGAATTACTGCTAATTTAGATATCCAATATTTATAAAGCATTTTTTTAGATAGTGTAAAGATCACTAGAAGTTCTACCATTTTCCTTCTTATTCTAGTGATTATCCTGTATACTTCATTTTGGATACCATTACTGTTTTTTGTAGTTACACAGTTGTGCTTTTTCATATTGCTGTGTTTTATACCAGGCTTCCTCTGGCTGTTCACTTACTAAGACGTAGTAAAAGCATAACCTGCGTAGAACCTGTCCCTGTCCCTTACCTTTGTCCTTACTGTTGTGATTTGCGCACTTAACTAGCATAGTGCTCATCTCTTACAACCCATGTATGCTTTATACTATTATTCCATTGTCTTTCACTATGACGACAACAGCTCCCTAGCTGGTCTGTCTCAATTCATTTTTTCTTCTAGTCTATTCTCCAAGCTGCAGCCTGAGTAACTTTTAAAAATACAGATGTGGTCACGTCACCCATATACGCCTTAAGGTTGCTTTAAGGCTAAAGAACGAAATCTTCATCATACCCACAAACAAGGCCCTGTGTACGTGGGCCCCTGCTTACACCTCCAGTTTTCTCTCAGACTTCTACTTATGCTAATCTTTCAGTTTAAACTCAAAACTTCAGTTTAAACTTCAGTTTAAAGCTCAAAACCTTTAAGCTCCCTCTGTCATTAGGGCCTGTGTTCCCTCTGTCTGGAATTATTTTCACTCCTCCTCTTCATCTTTTGGATCCTAACCTAAATGTCACTTCTCTAGGCAAACCTTCCCTGACCCCTCCCCCAGAGATCAGGTTAGGTCCCCCTGTTATTCTCTTTCATAATACTGTGTATCTTACCTTTCTGAAATGTCTAGTTTGCACTTAACTGCTTAATGTGTGTCTATCAAATTGGATAGCAACCTCTTGGAAGGCGAGTACTATGATTATTTTTGCCTATCATTGTATTCTGAGCACTCAGGACAGTGACTGGCCCATGGTGCCCAGTGAATGTGATGGATGAATGAATGTTACATTGTAGTGTAATGTGTTTGCATGCTTGTCTTCTTTATTGAACTCTGGGGTTATTGAGAGAAAGTAACGTGCTTTTTAGTGATTTTTATGTCACTGTGCATACATGGTACCTGGCACATAATGGGTGCTCCATCAACTGTACATAGAATGAATGAGTAATTTTGCAGTGACTCTGTTGTCTAAACAATCACAAAAGAGATTTGCCATCTCAAAATTTTCACTAAAGTCTTAATGATGTAAGAATTTTGGAGCTGGAAGGTTCGTTAAGAGATTTTTGGGTCAACTGATTTTCTGCATGAGAAGAGTCAAGTCTAAAGAGCTAAATGACTTACCCCAATCTCACAGCTAGGTGAACGATAGGATCTGGGCTACAACCCAGATCTTCAAATTCCTAAACCAGTGCTTTATCCCTTATAGCATGTTGCTTTCTTTAGCCTTTAAGCAGCTGTTGAGAAAGGTTTAATAAATATATATATATGTATGTATGTAATATATGACACACATTTGAGTAGAATTTTTTATTTTACTTTCCCTGAAATTTTCTTGTCAGCTGAAACTTAAAACAGTTAACATTTGTTATGCAACTACTATGTTCCAGTCACCATTCCTACATTTCTGAGTCAGGTAACATACCATTTTATAGATGGAGAAATGGAGGCACAGAGAAGTTAAGCAGCTTTACTATGTTTATACAGCTAGTGAGTAACAGGGCCCAGATTTGGATCCAGGTGGTCTGACTGTTGTAATAATTAGTGCTGTTTGGGAGCAGATCTGAGGTCCTTATGATTTATATTCACTATTATTTTAATATGTAATCAAAATCCTGTTAGTTAGGTGTCTGAACAGTATTGGATGCTGAGATTTTTAATGTTCCATGATGGCAAATATAATTCAGGTTTACTTTTATAGATTATTGATATGGTACGTGACAGTATGTTAGAGAATGTGTTCAATCAAATTTGTTGGTGAGTTGAAATAAAGTAATTGGAAGTACCCAGCACAGAGTAGGAACAAATATCGAATGAAATTTCAACAGGAAGAGTATTGTTATATGTAGAATCGAGACATGAAATAAATCATTCACAATTTGAAGACTGAGAGGAAAATTAGAGGGAAATAGGAAAAGCTGGCTGTGTTTGAGATAAAATGTTTAAAAACAAACAGCCCCCCCCCCCCCCATCATGCCTCCCGGCAAAAAATAAAACTATTTTGTCCTTCATAAGATCAAATACTAGAAATTTTATAAACTTGCATAATGATGACTTACTGTTATTACAGCTCTAAAAACTCCATGAATCATAGCTGTCCTTTATTGATCTTTATTCGGGGAAATGCAGCTTTTCCTTCTAATCTCTGCTATTATTTGACTGATAGGATCAAGCAGAACAGTTCTTTAGAAGTGGCCATACAAACAACTGGGCTGTTTTGGTAAGTGTATTCTATGAAGGTATACCTTGCTGTTCACTTTAGATGTGTCTGAGAAATTGTGTATGAATCAGATTTTTGAAAATAAATTTTTCTTATATCTTATAACAGAAATTCTTTATTTTGATTTGGCTATATTTTAAATCGACTACATCAACTAATAATATTTTTTGCCTTCAGTATATCTGGGTAAATAAATATAAGAATAAACTAGGGATGCTGTTGTTAAGGAAGCATTTTATAAAATGTAGAATTATTTTAATGATGGAAACTAGTAATTGTATTTCTTACCTATAATATTAGTTTATAGATACTTTCCACTCAGGCTACTTTATTTTTATTTTTTTAATTGTTTTTTTCTGTTAACAAAAATGATCATTATAGAAAATTCAAATTATGCAGAAAAGTTTACAAGAAGACAGGTTAGTTTTACGTTATGTGAATTTCACCTCAGTTTAAAAAAAGGAAAACAATCCTCAAGTCCCATGTGCCAGGATCAAGATTTTGATGAACATTCTTCTAACCTTATCTCTTTTCGTATATAAGCATAAAATATATGATTTTATATAACTGGGATCATATTATATCTGCTATTTTGCAACCTCATAGCAGTACAGCTTCAGGATCTTTCCCTGCCAGTACATATGGGGATACATGATCATTTCCAAAGGCTGTATTGTTTTCTATTTGATGAATGTATCATAATCTCCAGTTCATTGGCATTTAGATTCTAAATTTTTCATAATTTTAACAGGGCTGTGTTGGACATCCTTGTACATACATGTTTGTGAACCTGGCTGATTTTCTTTTTAGGATAAATTCTTAGGCATAAGGCTGTGAAGTCACAGAGCATAACTGTCCTCCAGAAATGCTGTACCTCTTTTTCTAATCTCAAGTCTACTGTGTATTAACTTTTATCTTTTCTTTTTGACGGCTGGGCAACAAATTAAATTTTGTTTTAATTTGCGTTGTTTTGATTCTTAGTGAGGTTTGCTTATTGGCCCATTTTCTTTCTTTTACCTTTTGTTCTTTGTGTGAATTACCATCTTTAATTTATCTGGATTCACAAATTTGTATTTTTAATTCACCAAATAGAATACATGTAATCAATTTTGTTTTTCCTGTGCTTAGAAAGTGTTTGGATAATGGTTTTGCTACTGGGGATTCATTTAATGACATTTGCATGATTAGAAGATACAATAAATTTGACTTAATGAAAAAAATATGTAAAAGGATTGACTGGAAGGAAGGATTAGGAAATAAAGAGGCAAGAAAGGAAGCTGATTTTGTGAAAAATGAAGGGAGCAAAGAATGTACATTGTTTCAAAGCCAGTAACTTGTGTTGGAAAAGGAGGAAAACTGGGAAACACAAATTGTAAGAATACAATGGAAATGTAAAGGAGGTGGGTAGAGGAATTCAACTAAAAGTACAGAACAAACATATAAGACTGTAATTAACTTTACGAAGGCCAAAGGAAGATTGTCTGAATGTTTGAGGCCTTGTAAGTTTATTTGGAATAGTTTTATAGAAGTATGTAATTATCTACAGGTTTCTAGAAGTAAATAAAGAGTGATTACAGTTGCTATACATATTTGTATTAAATAAAATTTTATTATCATTAAATTGGACAGTAAAGTATCAGTTCATGGCTCATTTTCTTGTTCTCCAGAAAAGAACACCTCTATATGCTACCCCTCACAAGAGATTTTATGAGGGAATTGAACAAAAGTTGCATAAGATAAGGAGACAGGTTTTCAAAGACCACTTAAAAGTGGGGAAAACTGTCAGGAGGCAGGCCGTGATCCGCCAATTTGAGAGGATAACTTGCTCTGCAGGAAACCGAGGGCTCTTCCATGATTAGTCTCTCCATGGAATTCTTGGAAGAGGGAATAACTGCCTCTGTGCAGACAACTAATTGCTACAGGGCTCATCCTTGAGTGTAAGAGCCTCTTAGCTTCTACTTCACACGCATCAAAGGCTTCCTTGTTCTGGGAAACCTGTGACTAAGCCGCTCTCCGGTCTCAGTAACCTGGGTCTCAGAGGAGAATAGAGGGTGAAAAAGAATTATTACTGAGCATTTCACAACTGCAGTTTTCATATTTTGTGCATATTTTACACATTAACTCAGACTTAGTATAGTGAGACTTCAATAAATTGTACTTTCTTAAATGGAAAATTATGAAATTTGACCAGGGCCAAGTTGAAAGTACTAAACATGCATTTCTTTCAATGTTATGTAGTTCAGATTTAAAAAATATATTTATTTTTTCCCTCCCACTTTGACTTAATTTGTTTTTAGTCTTGACTAGATGATCACAGGTAAATAAGATGCCCCTTTGCTTTTGTGATATGACTGAAAAAACTTTTCCCACCAGAGGGAGGTAGAAGGAAAATTAGATTCCATTTAGTCTCAGGATCTGCTTTGAAACAAACATATTTGCATCTGTTTAATAAAAAATGTTATAAAGATAATCCATACTCATAGTTAAAAAGAAGTACAATGAGGAGGGGTGTAAACTGGGAAGTTATTGCACCCCTCTTTGACCTCTTTTTTTATTTTCTATAATCTCTATTATCAGTTTCTTGTGTATCCTTTCAGAAATTTCAAATGCATACGATCAGATTTGTGTCTTCCTATCCCTCCTTTTAAAAAGACTAATGGATCATATTCTTTTATAACTTGCTTTTTTTTGGTATTCCATTCAGTGACTATGTAATAATTTATATTAGGTTGATATTTTCTGGTCCCTTCTTTTTTCCTACCTTAATTTCATGTCTAGTAAACTGCTGGTGAAAATGAGGGCAGTTTCTTAGGTTTATGCTCATTGAATAGTATAATAGATGAGAAGTCCTTTTGGATATGGTAAAGTGTACTGAATATACTGGTTTTTATTTTGACTAATTCAGATATAAATTATATTATTTTTGCTCAAGTTAGGGAACCTGTAGATTCTTTGCTACTTATGGGTAGTGATTTTGTTTCTTGCTTTTTGGTTTTGATTTTTGCTAATATAGGCAACATTATAGTGAAAATCCTTGAATACATATTTTTGCATATTTCTATGAGCTAAATCAAAAGATAAGTGCATTTTCAAACTTGATATATGTTGCAGAGTACCCTCTTAGAAGGTTCATATTAGTTTACCTTCCCATCATTAGGATATGAGTATTCATTTCCCCACACCTTTATCAAAACCATCAGTTGTCAGACTTTTGAATACATACCAATTCGATTTGTATTTTTTAAATTATGACAGAAGTTGAGCGTCTTTAGGAGTTTTATCTTCCATTTTTAATACTTTGTTATGAAATGCTTGCTCTCATTCTTTGCCCATTTTTCAAAATAGGATTGTTCATCTTTTTCTTCTTGAGTTATAATTATTTCAAGTTTTTCGTTTCAGTTAGGATTTTATGGTATTTTGACATATGGAGTTTTACATTTTTATGTAGTCAAAAATTTTAGTCTTTTTAAAATTGGATTCCAGTTGAAAATTCATTTTAATAAAATAATCTTGTGGTTGCTTGCTGTCTGCGGGGGCAAGAACATGTATGCTCGTCTGGAAACTGTCGTTCACCTGCTCTCAGCAGAGGCGCGTGATGGGAGTGAGGAGGGTGTTGAGTAGGTCTATGACCAGCTGACCCCAGGCTCAGTTGCTTCCTTTGCAATGGGTTCTCAAGAGTCTGACCTTTGAGGCATGGCGTTAGATTTTCCCAGTACCTTTGATATCATTTTTAGGAATCTACTTTCTTTTTTTTTTAAAGTGTAAAACTTGTTTGAATTGTTTCTAGTGTTCTGTTGAGTTCAATAGTTTCATTATAGTGTATTCTCTTATGTGCATATAAAACTGTTTAGTGTGTTATGCTTTAGTCTCTATCTTCCATTTTTCACAACTAAAATTAGGAAGCAATCCAGACTGAAAGGAATATTATATAATTCAAGGTAGCTAATTTTCTTTTCAGTTCTGTGAAGAGATTATGGGCATCGACTTTGATTCTAAAGAATTTAATCTTTTAGAAATAGGCATTATAGAGTCACATAAATTGAGAGTAACTAAGTTGGTTTAGTATTTTATTAAGTTCTCCAAAGATTTGTTTTCTCTTAAGCTAAAAGGTCTTTTTATTTAATACCAATTATGAAAGACCTCTCTCTAGAGGTTTTATTGGTTTTATTGACAATTCTTTGTGTGCTTTGCTGTTTCTAAACCTGAATTATGATATACTCTTTCTTTAGGCATCTCTGTTTCCTACTTAAAGAGAAATAGTTCTGTAACTCTGTGGCTTATTTTGATTAATAAAAATAATATATTTGTTTTAATACTTTAGGTATGTACATCCCGATTCTGGTTTAACTATCGACATGTTGCAAATACTCTTTCTGTTTATAGAAGTGTCAAGAGGCTAGGTATTCCTGACAGGTAAGAATTCTAAATAAAGCTTAACTCGGAACCTCAGTAAAAATCACCCTTAGATGATTGTTATTATATTTGTATTTTTGTATTGCTTTTTAAAATGTAAAGAAACCAATCGTGTATAAAGTAGCTGTTACTTAAGATCATAATGGCAAATTATATGAAACAACAATCAATACTAAGGGAAAAAGATTTGATATAAAGTATAATTGTTTGGTATCTTTCATTTAATTATTAAATGCCTCATTCTGGGTTTTTAATTGCAGGCAACAGAAGGCAATTCTGACTGATTCAAGTAGAAAAGGAATTTACTGAAAGCATATTGATTAGTTCACCAAATTGCTGGGAAGCCTGTAGCCTTAAATAGTCAGGAAAAAGGACGAGTTAGCAGAGAAGACATATCTAAAAATCATGGCGTAAACCGGTGTAGTGCCGATGATGCAGCTTCAAACTGCTGAGGGCTGCACGCAGCCGCTGCATAGTGTTGCCCTTGGCTTTGGAAACTTAGTGTTGCGACTGTTGCCTGCTGCCAAAATCCAGCCTTTGCCGTCCCAGCTTCTTACTGTCTCTAGCTCTTAATTTAGAGTCCTTGGTGGGAATGTCATGTTGGCAGAGTGTAGATTAAGTGCCATGTCCATGCTGCAAAAGTGACAGGAGGAATTACTGTGTGGTGTTGTCAGCTTCTGTATAGGGGGTAGGCTTTGCTTTCCATGAAGACTCACAAGGTGGGATATTTCCTAATTACATGAGGGAGTTCAGGTACTAGGCAGAACCCCCACAACTCCACCCGCAGATAGAATCCTCTACATTTGGTTTGTCAGAGATGATCAGTTTTTGCTATTCTCCAAGCAGTTCTAGAAGAAACTGCAGTGAATTCGGTTACTTAGGTTTGATTTATTTAGTCCTGTGTTCCTCTCTACCTACGAGGCAGTGTGGAAAGAGCTTTGCAGTCAGATGGATCTGAATTTGAAATTTGGGTTTAGTGGTGATTTTGGTTAAGTCACTTCACCATATGAAGCCTATTTCCTCAGCTAGTATGTGGTGAGAGTAGTACCTTCTTTGCAGGTTTCAGGCACTTGCAGTAAAATCAAAGAGAGGGGACGGCCCTCTGGCATAGTGGTTAAGTTAGCATGCTCTGCTTCAGTGGCCTAGGTTTGCAGGTTGGGATCCCGAGCACAGACCTGTGTACTGCTCATCAAGACATGCTGTGGTGGTGTCCCGCATACAAAGCAGAGGAAGATAGTCCCAGATGTTAGCTCAGCGACAATCTTCTCACAAAACCCCTCCCCCCCAAAAGCAATGAGAACCATGTATAAAGTGCTTCAGGAGCAGAAAGGAAGCAGTGAATGACTCAGGAAACAAAGTTATATCACATTTTATGTAAATAGAGCATTTTAACCTTGGAAGCTGACAAGAACTATAATTTAATTCTTATATTTCATCTGGAAATTAAGGCAACTTGATAATATTACCATTTTTAAAAAGTACATTAAATTAAATCTGAGAAAGGATGATTTGTTGTATCAAGTACACAGGTATTCCTGTAATTAGCCCATTATTATAATTTGTCAATTGGTTCTCCTCAAATAGGTCTGTGTGGTCAGTCTGGGTTTTAGCTGCTGGGGCATCTATACCCTGTGTGCTCCTCCAGGGGCTGCTGTGCGTGGTTTGCGAGGGTTTTCACTTTGGGAACTGGATCTTTGTCTGATCTGGAAGTCAGTAGGATATGTGTAAATGGTTTCAGTAAGACTTAGAGGGCCTTTTTAGAAATAGAATGTAACTATAGGATGTATTTTATAAATTATAATTAGTAGCTTTGTCCCTAGGTTTCTGAAGAATGTTCTTTAAAAGTTTATTCCTATTTCAAATGATTGCCTGTCTACACCTCTATTTATGAAGCCTTTGTTGGGGAGTGAACTGCAGATATGAACAGTTGAGGATTTAAAGCATTTGTTATTTAATAAACAGAGAACAATAGAAAAGATTCTATTTGGCTTTTAGCCTATTATGGTGAATACTCCTCTTATTGGTGACTTGGCTGATTTTACTCCTACGTGAAATTAAATATAAAAATATAATTATAAGTAATTTTTTAGTCAGAAAGTAACAAATTATTATGAAATAGTTTGGAAACTTAAAATCATTAATAACAGCTTTCAGTTTTAAAGCTTGAATTTCAAAATACAATTTGAATTTATTTTATGCATTATGGAGCATTTTCAAGTTAAAACAATATTATCGTAACTTCTGTCATATTCCAGATATATATCCTGAGATAAATGATTGATCACTACATTAATAAAAATTATGTGTAGAGCTCTGCTTTTTTAAAAAATTTGTTTGCTTTTTTAAAGGAGCATTTTACCTGTGTTTTGAAATGCAAAGTATTTGCATTTAGTTTTCACGTATGCTTCAATAAGAAATTAGTTCATGTCACAAATCATTTACTAAAATCCGTGATACGGATGACTGCCTTTTCTTTTGGAAGTTCGAATCAATTCCATCAATCCTATTTGAAATGTCTTATCAGTTATGTCACTGCTCTTGTTTCTGATTTCTCTCTGATGGTCCGTCCGTGTTTCACACACTCCGTCCACTCGAGCTGTTCTCTCTGCCTGGAATGGTTGTCTCCAGTTCTGGCTCACTGCTACCTAAACCTGGCTGTGATTCTGAATCACTTGTGGTGCATGTTAAAAATACTGATTTCTTGGGCTCCACTCCTGGAGATTCGAATTCACTAGATCTGAAGTGAGGCCTAGGCGTCAGCTCTGTATGTGGTTCTGATGCACAATCAAGTTTAGGAGGTACAGCTTTAAGTTTTATCTGATCTTCCAAATTCACCTTATTCTGATACTTCTTCAACAAAGCATTTCCTGACTCCCTTTTTTGCTTCTACAGTGTCCTGTGTACACTTTGATTACAACATGATTTTACTAATTATAGTATGTCTCCTTCATTAGGTTGTAAATGCCTTGAAAGGAACAAGGATTATATTTCATTTCATTTTATACTACCAGCATCTAGCACAGTGGCTGGCACATAGTAGGTGCTCAGTAGGTATTGAATAAATGAACATGTGACTTAGAAATACTTAGTCAGTCAGGCAAGGCAAATACAATTTTTTACTTTAAAAGTAAAAACATTTTTATCTCCTAAATTGTAGTATTCTCGTTTTTAGCAAATGCGAATCTGGTATAAAAGAAATTTTAATAAATAGGTTGCCAGAATTCTATAATACTGTTTCAAAATATTGACTCAGGGAAATGTGATTTTAGTGATTATGGAGGAAAATAAAAACTCATGCTCATAAGGTCTTCATATTACCCACCAGCTTGACTGTTACTGTTTTCATACCTAAGTTCCATGGAAAACAGATGCCTTCCACTCTGTAACCATGCTTTCTATAACCTGACCCACTCTCAGAAATTTTGTGTTTATTTGCCTGGTTTTAGTTGCTTGAAACATTTCACTATTTTTAGGAGATTTTCTGCCCTCAAATAATTGTTTTGGACTAAATCCCAGTTTCACTACCTCCAGTGGGCTTAATATGCTTAAGATGAGAGAGAAGAGGCCTCCGCAGGGTTAACTTCTGAAGGCAGTATGTGAAGCAAAAATTGAGCCAAAATTATTCTTGAAAGTTTCTTAAATAGCACGTAAAGTATGGGATAATATTGTCTTTCATCAAGTCTAACACTGCCAGTTTTTCCTCCCGGGCTAGAGCAGATTACTGTTTTCTTATGCTTTGGTGGAACGCTTGATAAAGTGGTTTACTTAGGAGTAGGGAACATGTTATATGAAAAAAATATACATCTTTAACACTGGAATTGTGATGTACATGCTGTGAGAGGCACGTGGGAATTGAGACTGACTGAGGGAGTGTAGAATCATAGTTCCCATCTCATGGTTACTTTGGGGAATAAATGCATTGAGTATTAGGGTGGTGAGATGGTCTCTCCTCTTTTCCTCCTTTTTTTTTTTGACTGAGTTTGTAAGATTGTTATGGAGTTAAATGTGTGTTTATTCTTAAAATATGATTTAGCTCTATTACAAGTTGGGTGGATGTGAGTTTTTGTAATGATCCCTGTCTGATAAACTATTTCTATAGTTAAATCCAGCAGCTTTTCTGACTGTTTTTTCCCCCTTACTCTATATTTTAATCATTATGAGATTAATACTCCTAATTTAAACCTGTTATTCTTCATCTCCTCTTATTCATAATCTCTTAGTGTACGCAAAGTAAAGTTCAAATCCCTTATGCTGGTACTCAGGGCTTTTGCAGTGTGGTTCCGAATCTGATATTCTGATCATTTAATTTCAATTTCTTATGCTCCAGCCAGTTCCTTCTTATGAGTCCCTGCATTGTCCTCTGTCATTTCCTTCTACCAGTCCTTCCACCTGTAGTTCTTTCCTTCCTAGTTTTCCTCTGCCCAAATTAAATTCATGCAATCCTAAGGCTTTCTTGGTCCTTCTTGCAGAAATAATGCTTATTTATACTTCTATCATGGCACTTTTTGTGGTATTGATCTTATTTCTTCCAGGCTGGTTCTGATAGTGTGTTTGTATTCCTCACAGTGCATTCTTTGGTATATTGTGCAGAGTTGAATGAATGAATGAATAGTATACTAGCAACCCTCAGCTAAGTGGAACCTGATTGGTCTAGTCTAGAAAGGAAATATTTATGAATACTGCTTATTTATATTCTTTTCAAATCTTGTTTCTCAAACCACGCTGAGCTAAAAGTACTCTATAGTTGATTTTATAATCTATTTCCTAACTTCTGCTTTCAGGATCCATGGGTGGGGTGACCTCACCAGAGAACTTCAAATTAATTTCTTTCTATCAGATAGAAGTTCATAAGAGTCTTGCCTAAGACAAGTTAGCATCAACTTTACTTATTCTCTGTCTTCCTACTATTTCAGTTCCCTTGGGATGCACTTTTTTTTGGGTCCCTTGTCTCTTTTAATTTCTTTCTCAAGTAGTAAATTTTAGAATTAGAAATGTGAATT